ATAGATTAGAGAGTAAATTTTATTTTAGAGAGTCTAAATAAAAAGTTAATTGGAGAAGAGATTTTAAAATTGACTTTCTGTAATACTCCATCTGTTCCTAAATATCTGTCATTTAAGGTTTTTGCACAGGGATTAAGAAAGCTATTAAATAATTGTAATATGAGTAAAAAATAATTACACAAGACTAAAATACATTTATTCAATATGTATTGGGAAGGAAAAAAATATTAAAGACACTTAACCTCCACCTAATCTAATGCATTGAAAAGTTAAGGGTAAATTTAGAAGAAAAAATATTAATTATGTTTTGGTTTCATAAAACGACAGATATTATGGAACAAAAAAAATTATGTAAAACGACAAATATTTAAAAACGAAGAGAGTAAAAAAATTAAGTGGTGGGCACCTAAAGGAGTACTCACAGGCTTTGAGTTATCCATACCAAACTGAGAAAGTATCTTCTCCAAGTATTTCTGCTGTGACAAACACAATCTACCCTTCTTCATGTCTCTCAAAATTTTTATGCCAAGAATTTTCTTAGATGCACCCAGGTCCTTTATCTCAAACTCTTTGATGAGTTGAGACTTCAACTTGTTGATTTCCACCAAGCTCTTAGCAGCAATGGGCATGTCATCAACATATAAAAACAAGTAGATAAAAGAATAATCTGGTAGCTTTTTAAAGTACACACAATGGTCATACTCACTTTTGGTGTAGTTTTGTTTCAACATGAATGTGTCAAACCTTTGTACCACTGTTTTGGCGATTGCTTCAATTCATACAATGACTTCTTAAGTTTGCACACATAAGATTCTTTACCAGCAACCTTGAAACCTTTACGCTGAGTCATGAAGATTTCCTCCTCCAAATCCCTATGGAGAAATGCAATCTTGATATCCAACTGCTCTAACTCAAGATCAAATTGAGCCACGATGGCTAATAACACACGGATTGAAGTATGCTTCACCACTGGTGAAAAATGTCTCATTGTAATCCACCCCTTCCTTTTGCGTGTAGCTCTTAGCTACCAACCGTGCTTTATATCTAATGTTATCTGTCCCTGGAGAACCTTCCTTTTTTGAGTACACCCATTTGCACCCAATTTCTTGTTTTTTCTTTGGCAATTTGACGAGCTCCCAAGTATGGTTTTTGTGAAGATAATTCATCTACTTATTCATGGCAGTTTTACATTCTTTATAGTTATTGTCGTTTATTGCCTCCTGAAATGTAGATGGTTCATCACCCACCATGCTAAGTGCATAACATAGCATATCTTCAAAACCCTAACGAATTGGTGCTTTAACTATCCTTCTAGTCTTCCCAGTTGCTAAAGATTGTTGTGGTGGTTGCCCTTCTAATGTCCCTTTGTTTGGAACAATATCTTCTAGAGTATTAAGCTCCACCTCCACAAGATCACCATTTTCCTTCTCTATCTAAATATTCTTCTACTTATAGGAAGTTAGAATAGTAGACTCATCAAAGATCACATCCCTACTAATTACAAACTTGTGCAATTTAGGGCACCATAATCTATAACCCTTCATTCCAGTTGCATATCCGAGAAAAAATCTCTTCTTAGCTCTTGGGTCAATCTTAATTTCTTTGACATGAAACTAAGCTGGACACCCAAAGACTCTAAGGGAACTATAATCAGCTGGCTTGTCTGACCATACTTCATTAGGAGTTTTACACGTTATAGTTGTTGACGGTGGTCGATTGACGAGAAAACACATCGTGTTAATAGCCTCAGCCCAGAATTCTCTATCCAATCCAGCATTGGATGGATTGGATAACATACACCTTGTTCTCTCCAATAGAGTCCGATTCATTCTCCCTGCAACTCCGTTTTGTTGTGGAGTTCCCTTAATAGAGAAATGTCTCGCAATACCTTCATCTTCATAGAACTTCAAGAATGACTGATACGTGTACTTACTATTATTGTCGGTTCTCAATCGCTTGACCTTTCTTCTGGTTTGCTTCTCAACCATGGCTTTCCACTTTTTCAATGTTTCAAATACCTCATCCTTAGTCTTCACAAAGTATACCCATACTTTACGGGATAAGTCATCAATAAAGGTAACAAAATATCTAGATCCCCCTTTTGAGACTACCTTTGAGGGACCCTAAACATCCCAATGAATGTAGTCAAGAGTGCCTTTAGTGTGCCAGATAGTTGTGCTAAACTTCATCTTGCACTGCTTACCAAAGACACAATGTTCGCAAAAATTCAACTTGGTCGTCTTGACGCTACCAAGCATGTCTTGTTTACTTAAGACTTCCAATCCTCTCTCACTCATATGGCCCAAACGCATATGCCACATATGAGTAGAGATTGAATCACCATCTCTTAATATAGACACTATTGCATCATCTGTCACTATACTGCCTGATAGAAAATATAGATTTCCTATCTTGCTCCCTTTCATCACAACTAAAGCACCTCGAACAACTTTTATAACTCCACCTTAGGCCACAATCTTGCACCCATTGGAGTCTAGTGCACCTAATGAGATAAGGTTCTTCAACTCTGGAACATGTCTGACTTCTGTCAAAGTTCTCACAATTCCATTATGTAGCTTAATTCTGATAGTTCCTACCCCAACTATTTTACAAGCCATGTTGTTGCCCATCAAAACATTGCCACCATTCAATTCCTTGTAAGAAGAAAACCAATTCCTATTGGACACATATGGTATGAACTACCAGAATCAAGAATCCATCTGTCTGACGCACTTATATTGTGAGGCAAAACTGACAAATATTTTTGGCATTATCCGAATTGTCTTCAGCAACACTGACAGTATCAGACATCTTATCTTTATTGTTCTGATCCTTAACTTTATGCTTCAGACAATCAGCTTTCCAGTGCCCCTTTTTATGACAATAGTGACATTAAGAATTATTTCGATCTTTAACTTTAGATTTAGATCGAGATCTATTACTTCCTAGATTTCTATTCTTTGTTCTCCCTCTGACTAATAGACCCTCTGCCTGAGAGTCGATCTTAGGAGTCTTCTTTCTGAACTCATTAGAAAAAGTGATGAAGTAATATCATCGAACTCAATGGTATCCTTCACAAAGAGCAATGCGGTGACAAAATGCTTGTACGAATTGGGTAACGAGGACAACAGTATCATGATTTTGTCTTTATCTTCCAACTTAATCTCCATGTTTAGTAGTTCATAAACAATTCTATTAAACTCGTTAAAATTCTCATACATGGATGTACCTTCCTTTATACAAAACGTATAGAGTTGTTGCTTTAGGTACAATCAGTTGGTCACATTGTCATGCGGAGGTTTTCAAATTTCAAGCAAATATTTGCAACTGATTTATCTTGCATGACGTTGTACATAATTTCTTTTGCCAGACACAACCAAATCGCACTACATGCCTGAAGATCGTATTCGTTCAATTTGTCGTCGTCCACATCTTTAGGTTTACCTTTCAATGCTTTGTGTAGTCCTTGTTGGATTAGGGCATCTTTAACTTTGAATTGTCAAATTCCAAAATTGTTCCTTCCATCAAATTTCACCACCTCGAACTTAGAATTCGAGATCTTAGGAAGTTTCGTCACCATGACTTTAAAACTTGATCTGGTGAGGTCCTGAAAAAAAGAAAAACTAGTGCAAACAATTACAATACCTTGAATAGTACTATGTAAATAGTACTGATGAATAGTACTGTATGAACAGTACCCTATATATATTGTACTATATGAACAGTACTCATATATAAATAACCAGAATTAGTATTGGCTCTGATACCAATTTGTTGCAAAAATTACCCCAGGAATCGAATTTGAACCGATATTGACACTCACACTAAAGGAACAATCACACAAGACAAAATAAGTTTCGTGGTTCGGCAATTACTTACGTCCACGATAACAACGATCAAATGTTTTCACTATTTGGAGTAAACAGAGAGTATGAGAACAATTGTTTCAAATCTCACAAGTACTCACTCGAACAAAATAAAATTACTCGATATCTTACTGGTATCACTCAAATTGATACCAAAACATCATTTAATGCTTGTACACTACAAGCACTGAAAATAGTGAAGTGATTTTCGGATGCTTGAACCACTGGCTAGGCATCTCTTTTCATAGGCAAACTGGGAAAGAAATGGACAAAGACTCAAATCTGTAAATCAAAGCAATTAATGCGGAGATCAGATCCGAACTACGTATGATTCAGGCGTTCACGCGCAGCCCCATTTTTTCTCTTGACTTTAAGACACCAATTGTTGAAAAAACAACACCACCCTTTGTCTTCATGCTAGCCATAAGGCTGCCAGGCCATTTAATTCAACAAGTATTTCAGATGAAGTTTTAGTTTTCATGCTGGTTAGAGTGGTCCCTGTGGTATAAGTGGTAGTGAATTAGTGATGGTGCTGGGTGGTACTTCCGGTGATAATGGGTTAATGACAATATGACATGAATGTTGTGATGGGTCTTTTGTCTGGAGAAAATTGAAACAGGTCGAACGATAGATTATAGAGAGATCAAATGTACAAAGAATTTACAAGATTGAAGAAGCATTTTATAGCGACAAACCAGATAAATTAATAAGGGTATTTTGAATGCTTAAAAAAATTCATCATCTTTCACGAGTTGAGGAAGGTTTAGTATCACAAACAAAAGTCGAAGTTATGGAAATATCCGAAGTAATAATGTATAGACTATAAAGTGATTAAATGTTATATTCTCCATCCCAAGTAATAATGTATAGACTATAGAGTGATTAAATGTTATATTTTTTTCGGTCATTGAATCGTCACCAGATTACGAAGTCCAAGACAAGTTCAATTCATCTACATAGGACCCAGTATGAGTAGTTTTTTTTTTTTTTTTTCCTTTTTTAAAGCATTACAAGCATGTCTCCACAGAACAGAAAGTATATGATTTAATATTATACTCATGGCATTGATTAATACTGCTCTCTGGTTGGAAATCCAACCAAACTAATAGAGCCAATGTTACATATAGATGTGCCAAAGAAGATACAAATATTTTTCTCTGGTATTATGACTTCTAACCAACCCACAGAGAGAGAGAGAGACTATTGCTGTAGAAGACTTCTAAGAAAGTCTGCATTAAGTTCATCACTGTCCATGGAAGACAGTGATTGAGACAGTCTCTCACTGAGATCGTCCACCTCTCTACGCAGCCTCTTGATGTAACTGCACATTTCTTCCAGAATCTTTGATGTTGGTACCTATGAAACATCACATAAAGTTGCATCTTTAATAACATTACAACATCATATTTGTATTTCAATTTTACTTTCAAATCATCATAATTAATCCCGCCATTTAGTTTTATGCACGGCTCTTGATTCTCTCCAACAGAAACTTTTTCGTTCGTTTCTGCGGGTTTTATTCGTTTCTTTAACGTCAAAACCAGAAAATCACTTTGTCTTGTTGCTTTATTAACCCTGTCTTATAATTTATTCCCAATGCTCCTATATATGAAGGTTGTGTACACAATTCTGTTCATGCACCCCACCCTCCATCTCAAAAGATGAATCTTTAGTTGAAGCTTTTTTAGGAGTTCACTTCTATTTGAATCTGTATAGATACCACGCGGGACAATGACAAGTGTTCATTCTCCCAAAGCAACATGTCACGTGTTTGAGTCCAAAAATCAGCATTTACCAAATAGGGAGATAAGAGCGCTAATCATTTATCACTTTTAAACTCGTGATATGCGGGATCTTGTACATGTAATATATCAAGGGTAAAGCTAAAAATTGTCGTTTCAAATATTTCACTTTCTGCTTGACAGGTGAAATTTGCATTGGCACCCTCTGTAGTCTCTGTACCTTGATGCCTCCTAAGGTTACAGTAGAGCAAAGTCATACCATATACTAGGAACATGGTATCATTAATGTCATCAAAATGGCAGAAAAAGGAAAAAAAAAAAAAAAGAAACCATGGGGCATACCCTTGTGCACCTTGAAGTAGGATCTGGTAGCAATGCTTGTAGCTTCAAGAGGAGACCATTAATCTCATCTTGGGTGAAACCTGAACCTCTGTTATTTCTGCTAGACATGACTTATTCCTCTGTTTTTCTCTCTCTTGCACTAACTTTTGCAGGCAAGAGTGAGGGGGGGAATTTCAAAGGGGGAGGAATGAGTTGCTTAAAAAGGCAGCGGAGGATGAGACTCAAACTCTAATTAGCTAGGAAAAAAACAAACAACACAAGCATTAGCAGCTAGAATAGTCCTTACACAGGGCCCACTTGTCTCACTATGCTGCACTACATGGGCCCACAAATATATCGGCCCTTTGCTAATTAAGCCTTCTAATTAGACCTTTGGCCTGTATGTTTCCCAGCTTAGCTTCAACCACTGCATGTAAATTTCCCATTTATTTAGACGTGTCGAGCTTAGATTGGGGGTACTTGGGGTTGTATATAGATGTGTACATGCTACCAGAAAGATACCTTGTCCTTCATTTGTTTGTATGGAAATGGTTTTTTTCGGAGAAGAGAGGGGGGAGCTGTGGTCCCTACTTTGCTCTATTTCATTGCTTTCTTTGATTTAACACCATTAGAATTTTGTAAAGGGTGATGTTTGAAGACTTAAGTTTGTCTATTAACAATGTAGTTAGATGGAGTTGGTGGTGTTCATAGGGTTTATAGAATGAATTTATGTCTTTGTCATGATTTTTGGACTATTTGATGCAATTCTATAAAACCCTAAAAGATTTCATTAGTTTACTAATCTTCTTTTGTTTTTTTGGGTAATATAATTCAGTACTTGAAACCGGTTAGTATAGCTAGCTGACAAAGTGTCCTTAACGAAGACAAAAGCGAGATTAGAAGTACAAAATAAAATGATATAATTGACAATTCTTAACTTGAACTATCAACCAAACCCAAAATTGAGATAAAATTATTGAATATGGGGACTTATCACATTCTCATTATAATTATAATCAGGTTGACCCTCCAAAATTTTTTGATAAATAAGTCAACACGACACCAACAAAATACGACCAGACCTATCTCCGATTGGATGGCGATTTAAGTACTTAGCCGTTTTCTCACAGTTCTTTTGGGGTGATTTAAGAGGTAGATCTGATTGTGTATTGTTCAGCTCTTGGAAACCTTTTCAAGCATTGTTGATTTGTTATGATTGTTCTCCTATAAATCCAAGTAAATGCCCCCACCTGTTCCAGTTTTCAAACAACTTCATGTGATATATCGTTAAAAGATTGTGAACTTGATTGAATTTTAAGATTGAGAGATGAAACTGAAAAGACAAACATATTATTGTTTGTGGGACTAGAGAGAACAAAGAGACGAGAGAATTATTATTATTTTCACGAGAAGGCGTGAATAGTGCTACCCTTCCACTATTAAAAATTTTCTTTGGGTCACTCTAGGAATTTATCTGTATAATAATCCTGCACATGTGAGAAATAAAACTCATACGAGCCTGCAAGGATTAGTGATGCTCTAAGACACTCCATTATTACCTAATTACCACAAAAAAATAAAAATAAAAAAAGAATGCAGGATTTGATTCTTACTAGTTTCATACTAAGGGAAAGATAACTCATTATTTTGAACCTTATGGACTCCAATTAAAAACTGATGTTACATCAATGAAACTAGCATTTGAAGCATCTTGACCTAACAAGGTATATAACAGGGAATGAAGATCAACGATAATGTTACGATATGGATTCAGTATGGTATTAATACTTATTTGCAAGTATCGATTGAAAAATCATAAAAAAAAACTTTACACGTGTCAAAATTTAATTTGATAAAAGTGAAGATATGGTGTCAAAAAATAAACTTTTAATACTGGGACCCAAATCAGAGACTTTTTATTTTGAATTAGGGTTGATAATTGAGCGAAATTATTCAGATAAGACCCGATTCGAGTTCGGCTCGTATTCTAAAGGACGAGCCTATAAGGTTCAACTCGAACTTGTAAAATTCAACTTACTTATATGTAAAATAATCGAATTACTTAAGCTCAATTCAAGTTCAATTCATTTTAGGCTCAATTCGTTTAGAAGATTTGATTCATTTTTTTAAATGAGTTAACCTTAAATAATTTTGTAAACTAACTTAAAAAAATAAATTTGATAAATTTAATTCGACTCAATTAGCTACCCTCCTCTAAATGCCCCCCAATGGGATTTGGGATCATTTTCCATATGAGCAATTGGGACTGGGGGGTGGGGGAGGTGACTACTATTAGAGCAAATGCTAAATAGTTGGTTCTTTGTCTTTACTTACCAACTCATAAATTTGTGCAATTATTGCCACGTGACACATGAAAGTGTACAGTGGCCTTGACACGTCATGCTAGTGCCTTGTGATGTGGACACCTCATCACAAAGTTTAAAAGGACTCATGGCCCTGTCAATGCGAATCTCACGCGTGCTTAAATCTCATTCAATCTCCTCTTAAGATAAATTGATTTGACATTATACTGTTAATGATAAGTTGATTTGATATTATAATGTTAATGGGATTTTGTCTATACTGGGATGGGTCTGGTAATACGCAATGAAGGTGGGATGTTTGTTGCTGGGGATATCAAAGAAGCTAATTGCCTTGGGTGAGGTGTAAACTGCAGAGCTTATTGCGATCAGGGAAGTTGTGATTTTTATTAGGATTAGGTGCGATGAGATTGTGCTAAAAAGTGATCATGAATATGATTGACGATAATTTTGAGAATTTCTCTCATTTAAGCACGATTGTTGCAAATTTTTAGCGCATTTTTTTCTTATTTATTTTTTTTCTCTTTGTCCACCGTTAGACTATCAAGAAAATGTATAGCTCACTAGTGGCTAGAAAGACTAGTTGCGGTGAAAATGTTGATATTTAGAAAGAATTGACACCAAAATTTTTACTTCAGATTTATCTTTTTAATACAATGTCTAACGTTTTAAATTCAAAAAAAAAAAAAAAAAACACACCCTCTTAAGTAAACTAAGCTGTAAGATTCAAATACGAATCTAACATACACAAGGTTGTCCGAGTTCAAATCCTAGTTTTAATGGATCTTACATTGTTGATATCTGAGCTGTATATGGAGTAATGTTATCAGAACCAGACCGGTCATCAAACCGACTAGGAGACTGGGTCAATTGTTCACTAGTTCAACCGATAGATCAACTGATCGGACCGATCATATAATAAAAAAAATAAAATGCATATATACTAATTCACAGTTGTATTTCTGTTAATAATCTTAACATCAGCCTCATTCTCGTATTTAGCATTGGTTTAATTAACCGCTATAATATCGCCCAGCAATCTCTCTCTCTCTCTCTCTCTCTCTCTCTATATATATATATATATATATATATATATATATATATATATATATATATATGTAAATGTGTATCAACAATCAACTTCAGAGGTGGGTGATGGATTTAATCCCTTGGATTTCTTTCTCTTTACTTTCTTGTTGCTGGTTGCTGGGTTTAAATCCCTTGGATTGTTCATATAGCGAGTTAGGGTTCTTATTCCGTTGAGCAAATATGCACTGAGACCCAGCGCAAAGACTGAGGCTCGACGGAGCCAATACAAGGTCATTGAGCAGAACCATCCGACTTTTAAAAATCGGCCAATTTTTCAATTTTTAATTGATTTTCTTCCTTATACGGTTCAACTAGAGAATCGGACCGGTTAAGATCCAGTTCCCAGTTGAACCAGTCTGACCGGCCAGTCCGATTCATTATAATAACACTAATAAAGAGAATAATTTAAAGTATATATGTGTTCAAAGACATTATACAATATAAAAAATCGAATTGATCTTACAATATTTATATTTTAAATAATAATTTAATTTTTTTAATTATACAATTTAAAACTAAAATAAAGAAAGATATGTGTAAATTGATGAAATTGTTTATTATTGAAAAATGTATTGATTAAATTGTCTAACATTAGAGGATGTGCAGAAAAATTAATGTTTTTAGATGGGAAAAAAATTAGAATAAATTTTATTGTATTGGATCAAAATAAATGAATATTAAATTAATCTTAACCATTATTGTACTTTTATAAGTTAAAAATTCAATTTTCTAGCTGAAATATTAAATAAATATTAATGTCACATCCTCTCTAATAAGTTAAACTATTAGAGGAGTTACTAATTTAACATATACTAAACTCAACAAAGCTTTGCCCAAATATTTTTGGAGTTTACTACATGAATCGTCTTTCTCCATTCTGCTCTATCATGGGTCATGATTTAACACATAAGTTCAAAATATCCAAAAACTTAAATTAAATTAGATTTAAATCTAAAAAAAAAAACATGTTTCATGTTAAAACTTATAAATACAACAAACCCAAACCTTAATCAAAACAAATCAACCTCAATAAAGTCCCCTAATGTAAACGATTCTCAATCTTGGAAAGTTTTGAATGACCACAAACATTATTGTCCTTGCGAAAAGACTCTTTTCCTGGTTAGAATACATGACTCTAAAGTACCAATGGAACAACATTACCGCTTTGTCAGGGCATGATTGATTCTACACACTATACACAAGACAACCAATGAGTCATAACTTGGAACATGAGTGAAGAACCCATAGGATCCATCCTAGAAATTCGGTTATCAAATCTACACTAACAATAACCAAATTAGACTAATCGAATTCAGGTTTGAATATTCGAAACCCAACACAAACTACCAGACACTTATACAAGTGGAATTCAAAACGGACTTTGATCATGACCCATCGATGGGCCTAGATCCACATGCTTTTAATGCACATGTTATCAAACAGACCTAATATTTGGAATATGATTGGCACGTCTCTGTTTTCATAACAATGTCAGTAAGCAGTGCAAGGGTGGAGAGGGGACCTAATGTGCTCTTCAATTGTGTGCAATCTCTATCAATCTTCAATTCTGCTAATATCATCATGCCCGTCATGAGTCTTTGTGGGATCTTTAACCTACACTCTTCAACTGAATCTGTGCATGAACCCCAACAAAGAAATGTTTCAATAGGAAAAGGAACGGCTCCAATCAAGTTAAGTAGCTTCAAGGCATGCAAATAAATCATGCAAGATAGAATAGGAGGAAAATGACCTAAACCCTTACAGATATGTAC